CTTCTATATAGACTTCTTTTGATCTCTTAAGTTGTTCTATTTTGTCTGTATCTTTCATTTTTCTTAAATTCGAGAGAAAAAAAGGAACAAAAGTGATATATGTTGAGCGAAATCGTTTTATAAACTCTCTGGCTTACGTATGTTACGGAACGAGAGACAAATGATGAGCCGCATTTTAGCGAGTTATCACAAGGAATTTCTGTACTTTTATTACGTAAGAAAAACAAAACATAGATATCTATTCTTTTAAAACCTGATGCATAGTTCTAGACATTGATTTTAAAATCGTATAAACTTTTATGATGTTTCTCGTTATACAAGTATTATATTACACAGATGAGACAGAAATACTTCATACTTTGGACAAATTCCTTTTTCTTATAGTACACCACACCAACTACACATTGAAGGAACTATCAAAAAACAAAATATTTATTTTTGATAAAATATTCTGTGAGTTTTGTATTTCATAAATATATTAAGACATGAAACCATATAAAAAAAAACGTTTTTTTTTTCAGTTATTAAAGTGTTTGAATAAAAAACCAGAAACCATGAAAACATGCTGCAATCCAATATTTGTCATTATTACTCAAGTTCGTAATACATATTCATGTCAATAGTCAAATAATATACGCTTCTTCGGTGTCATTTTCCTTTCAAAGACTATCGAAAAAAGAAGCAAAAAAAGAAAAAAAACATTTTCAAAAAAAAATGAACATTTTTCGAAGAGCAAAGGATTGGGGAGTTAAAATATGGTTAATTATTTCATTACTTATGGGTATTGCAACACTAACAAGTAAGTTCTACGCAACCATAAGCTTTTTCCATCTCTCTCTCTTTCTCATTTTTAGTCGGTTCACATGGTGTATCAAAGATAAATTCTGATAGAAATACGAAAATGCTTGATCGTAATAAATATCTGGCAACATTCATCTACGAAATTCTCACAGCTAGTCTTAAAATTATAGATCCTCTTCTCGGGTTCGCTTGTCTCTATACTAAAAAAAGAATTTACTTGCAACTGTTTATTGGCTTGAAAACATTTCTCATTTCAACACAACTCGTTGGTACAACATATCTCTTTACGATTCGTTTAAATTTTGAACAAATAACTAACACACGTTATGAAGCATGCTACTATAAACTGGAAAATGATATAGAATGTATAGAAGCATGGGAATCGTTACAAGATACTTATCCAGAATGTGATAGTGCTATCTCAGTTCCAGCTTCAAGACATTTCTACTATTCACAACAGAAACAACAACAACAACAGATACGTCTCTATCAATTGATTGAATCTCTTCCTGCACGTGTGAATAGTACACAGAGCATAATTGATAGTACTACAGTCAATGGTACAACAACAAATGTTCTCTTGTGGTGGATTGATCTTGCTAATGAAACGCAAGAGATTCATGATGAATATTTAAGAAATCCTAGTGTTGTAACTTCATCAGAACTTCGTCGATTGATCCTTCTTTTACCAGAAACTATAAAAAATATTTCACTGATCATTAATATGACAACAACAACCGTTACAATACAAACGACCACGAATACTCCGACTACAACGACAACAAGGACAACTGTTACAGTTTCAACTGTGATTACAGAATTATCAAACAGCATATTCTCCCATACATCACAGCCAACCATCGGGCCACTATCGACAGATGAATTGCTGGTCCCCTCAATTTCTCAATTTTTCGAATTATCAACCACTGAGATTACAACCGACCGTCAATCATCTTTCGTTCATCCACACCTTTCGACTATGTCATTGTCAAGTGCGATATTGACTGATGATTTAGTCATGTCCGAAAATCCAGTCGCTTCGACAGCGGCTACAGATCTGCTCCAAGATTTTAGTCCAACAGCGCTAGGTCCTGAATTTACATCATCAGAAACAGCTGCTGATTCATCTTTGTCTACTGGAATAACGAAAAATCCTACAGAAGTTACAGAAACTCTTTCCCCTGAATCTTCGTTTTTAACTAATCCTTCTTCATTCACGGAGGAGAGGCACTTTGCTAAGTTTGCTAAAGTTGTATCACAACAAGTTCGTCAACAAAATTCAACTCAATATACATCAAATGTTCTTCAATGGTGGATTCCATTTAGACAACTGCTACTTGACATTGTAGAAGAATATCGAAAAATGCTAGCCGGACGTCCCTCATCACCACCACCGGCATGTAAACAAGATCTCTATCATATGAGATACATTGCAACGGATTTAACTGTTTCAGTTGTCATCTATTCTGTAAATATGATTACGGACGTTGCTAGTTTTGCTTCAATGTTTAAACTGGCGAGAACTTTGAATCAACTAACTGATGGGAAAATGCAAAACTGTAGACTTTAGAGTTAAAAAATCCTCATATGCTTCGTTTTCTTTTTCATTACAAATATAGTCTTGGGAATTAATAAATGAAATGATAACTTATTCTTTTTCTAGGACGTCAAAGAACGTCACTTTTTTTTGTATTTCTAAATACTAATAAATATAGCAATCATGGGAGTTAGTTCATTTTTCTTAACAGGAAACAATACTATAGTCGTCAGTCAATTAATACTTTTTTTAGAAAATTGTGAAAAAGATGACAGGACTAGTTTCAAGTTGTTATATCTGAGATGAGCATTGATCTGAATAGTCGAAAATATGCCAGTTCTTTGTTCGTCATTTAAATTTCTTCTGGAATTAAATTATGTAGTTGGGATTCTAGCCCTCTGATTGTACTCTGAAAGCAGGCAAACTTCTCCCTATTTTTGAAATTGTTACTTGTCTCATCATTATTACGACGGACTCTTTTGGAGTCTAAAAAGTTTTTCAAGTGCAGATATTCGATATGTTCTATCGAGAGAGAGTGTGTGTGAGGGTGAGTCAAGTACATTAAAGCCAGTTTCAACCTTTCTTAAAGGATTCATCAGATGGTTTTGTATACAATCAATGATTCAAAAACGAAAAATCAAAGGGTGTAAGCGTGGATCTTCGATTTATTTTACACTCGCACCCGAGCTTTGTGCGACTTCCCATTAATCTTCCCGCCATCCCCTTAGACCCTAGTAGCTACGAGTGGGAACCCAAAGATTATAGAATATGTTTTCAGAAATATGGTGGGGGACATTAATCCTAGAATACGTATTCCCAACAACGGAAAAATGTGCGTCAGTAGCAACACTGCCTTAATCGTTCTGGAACTTTCTAGAATCCTTCAAAGCATTTTATGAATCTGAGATTTCTACTGTAGACTCTAACTAGTATATTTATTGTGGCTTCTGGTATTTGATACAGAAGAAGAATCTGATTGCAAGTATCAGCTAGTATTGCAATGGTATTATTGATCTAGCAGAGTCAGAATATAATGAACACTGAAAAGTATGAAATGATTCAGTTCTACGTTTAGGAAAAACTCAATGATATTTGCTTAAGTTTGTCCAGAGAAGCAATGATGTGTTCAATAGCTACCTCAAATATTGAACTCCTCCCGCAATAGAAGACTTTTTTGGAGGAACGACGCGTCAGACATAATAAAAGACCCGCTCTTAATTAGTTGATTTATCAAAAAATGGGTACTTTAATTAAAATAGTTTCATCAAAAGATACCTAGTATTTAAGGCTTTGAGCTGAAAATCTTAAAAGACTAATGCCAGCATTTTTTTCTAGGTTTTCAAAATCTCTTTTAGTTAAAAGGGATAGATAAAAATGGAATACAATAGGAGACCTCCTGAAATCTTCATATATTTGTATTATGAGGAAGCTTATATGATACTTGAACCGATAACATTCAGAACTAGATAATATTTACAGTTTCTTATGGCATGTATCATCTATATTATCATTAGGAGAAAACAATTTTGGATTGAAAATGCAACTGGCAATATAAATAAGTGTTTCTAGCAAAAAGATATTGAATAAATCTAATAAATTGATAGAATAGGAATTTTGAATGCAAACTATTTTGAAATATTCAAATTTCAGAGCGGGCATATCAACTATAGAAACTGTTATCATTTTCAATGATTCATCTATCTTACTTATTCCAAATAAATTGTTACATAACAGATTATGATGGATTATTTTTCAAATCTATTAAAATTGATTAGATTTCTAATCGATTATTCAGGTTTTTGTTGCTGAATAATCAATTTTAATGTGATTTTTTGACCGTTTTTTGTTTTACATGGGTTGTCAAGATTGTGAAAAATAGTTTGAAACAACTATCCTTTTTTGTTCTGTACTCATCTTTGATGGATAACTAAATGAAGAATATAATTAAGACAACTTAGAAGTGCAACAAAAAAAGTTTACATTCGACATCAAAAGTCTTTTATATAATAAAATAAATGAGACAATATTTGAGAAACTTTGATTCGAGCCAAGTTCTGTATATTTAAGTTTAGAACATTGAATTTCTCTATCTAAAATATTAATTCTAGATATTTCATTATATCATCACAAAAAACTTTTACTTGATGAATATTTTCTCTATGTATAAACTTATTCGTTAAGCTAAGAAGTGAATTATGAGCAGAAGTGGAAATTGATGCATTAATCAACAACGATAGTTGAAAGTTTTCTTACTTTTATGAAAATTTCAAAATGAAAAAAAAGGAAGAAAATGACAGTAGAAAAAATAATACGAAAAAACTAGACAAAGAGGATACCTAAAAATTAATTATGGATGTCGAAAATTTTCAAAAAATCTACTATCTATGTTTATATCGCTGCTGGAATATTCAGCGTCTATTTTACAGAAACAGCAGTAGCACGGTCCAATTGATTAACTCATATTGTTAGATATTAAAGAACGATAATTCATGATCAAAGAAAATATTAGCACAAAAGAATTAAAAATTTTGAAATCGAGAAAGTCATCAAGAGATGTCAACAACGATTATTAAAGTACGAATTTGAATGTTTAGTAAAGATCTCAGATGAATAATAACAACTGATTTAATAAAAGACATCACCTATTACTCCGTGAAATTAATGATTCACTTAAAAATAAACACAAATATTTTTTTTTCGAAAATCTTTTGTAATTTTTTCATTGGCAAAAATATTTCTGTAATGTATAGCAAATATTTAAAGCAAACTATTGCCACTTGAAATATAATTGCTGATTCATATGTTAAAAATTTATGCAATACCATTAGATAATAAATGGCCTGTTCATACCCATGGGGTAACATTTTTCGGCTCAGACCAGCCCACTGACATCTTTGATGTCTATATCATGCATAAATCTAATGACACATTTCCCTAAATGTCACTTCTATGTCCGTACAATGGACATCTTGATACTTGTTAAGTTTACTTTTTTTTATTTTCTTCCATTAATGATTTGGTTTTCGACATGCATTAATCATATTTTTTGAATATATTCAAATAAAGATGGAAGGGAATGAAGAGTTTGGTATTTTATTATTGACTTGGTGAAATAAAAGTATAACTTTTCATATGATGAAAGCAATTGAAATAATTTCACTTCTTAATCTCTCTAACAATTTTACTATAAAAAATTTCTGAAATAGATGTAATTGTTGACCAGTATATCCAATAATTTCTTGTCATCTACTATCATACTAATGCTTTTGCTTTTTTGTCTTTATTTGATTAGATTTATTCATTGATTTACTTGTTCATAATCAATAGACGAGTTTTGACAGTTATATAGTTGTTATATTGGCAAAAGAAAATTTCTCAAGAAATATACGAAACATTCACAATTTTACTGTAAAACTAACATTTCATTATGAGGATTTGAAAGATTTTCATGCAAATACGTCACATGTCCATACTAGATTGACTAGTTTCAGTGAATTACTCATTCCCGATCCATGTAGGATTTTCTATTGATGTATTTAGGTTTATAAATCGAATAAGAAACGCTTATGTCTCGTTATTCTAAATTCACACAACATATTCTTTTAATTAATTTTCGTTTTCATTAATAAACATATATCAAACTTTTATTTAGCAACTATGCATACAATGATAGGATTTTCTGAACAAATTGTTGAATGAGTAAGGTTTTGTATAATATTAAATTTTCTATTGAATGAATTGAATTTAGAATATCCAAACATAGTGTAACAATGTTGAAGAAAATTCTTTACAAAAATGTTCCATTTTACTGTATTCACTCGTTACAACTAATTCTCAGCTTTCGTTTCTGAACATGGAAAGATAATTATATCCAGCTTTATTACAATTCTTATACTTCCAAGATCGATTTCATCTCAGTATGATTCTAATTTAGATAATGGAATACACAAAATAAAAATTTTAAACATAACAATTGCAATGAATCAGTGTTTTTTTTAAAAGAACACTTATTATTATTAAAATCCAGATCGTGACCAGACTCGCATTGATAAGCCATATTTAGGTCTAAAATAAACAATCGATTAATCTATTAACTTTAAGATGAACGGAAATAAAAATATGCACATACCTGACAGTGACTGCTGTGCCTTGAACAATTTTTTGACCGGGTATCAATTCAAAACGAAAATGATGTAACATCATTGCCAATATAATCTTAGATTCTAACATAGCAAAATTCTGTCCAATACATGTATGTGGTCCATATCCAAATGGAAACAGTACGTTCACATGATTTTCAAGAAATCTTGACGGATCGAATTTATTTGATTCATGCCAATATTTTTCTGACCTAGATATGAAGAAAAATTGTCAATAAATATATTAAAACAAGGAAAAAGTTCCAGTAACATTTTTTGTTTGTTTAAAATTACCTATTCAGAATATTCAAAACGATAAAAATATCCGTTCCTTTTCGGATACGAATCTGTTTACCATCACTAGCCACAATAGTATTGTCAGCCATTGCTGTTCTAAGTAATAAAGGTGCAGGATGATGATATCGTAAAGTTTCTTTCAATACGGCTTCCGTATATGTTAATAGTGATACTGTCGTCACTGTCAATTCTTGATTTTTACTCAAAACTGAGTCGACTTCATTTTGCAATTCTTGATATACATCGGGATTTGTGACAAGATAGTAGAGTGCCCATATAATTAGAGTTCGCGGTGTATCATGTCCAGCAATTACTAGAAATAAATCAAACACTCATGATGCTCTTATTAAAAACAATAATTATCTCTTATTTAGAATAATTATTCTTCGTTTGAAAAACGCAATATAGGACAATGTGCTTTGTTGTTTCTGTATTGATTGGATAAAAAAAAACATACTGTAGTATCAGAGGAATAATGCTCTTTAAAACGTCTTTTACATAGATATCTTTTTTGTTTCTTAATTTATTTTTCTAGAAATTGACCTTTCAGATTAGACAATTTTAACTTCCTGAAAAAAAATTAAAAACTTGCATCAGTTATAATAGATTTTTGAATTTGAGAATCAAGTTTATTGTCGATCATACTTCATGATCTTTATATGTCCACATACTTATATCTATACTACATGTTCACCTTTGAATATTTGTATTTCTGTGTACGTTAGACATGTGACAATTCCCCTATAAATACAATGGATAACAAGTAAAGTGACACATTTTGATCTATATTTCAATATTTGCATCATGGAAATCTTAGTACTTGCTACAGAAAATGATAAAATTGAATTTACTAATCATCAGCCAATTCTCTTAACCGAAGATACAATCAAATGACTAGTACCATATGATTTTCTTGTTCCTATTACAATATCAATTTTGAAAATGAAATACTCACGCATATACTTATTAGTGAAAAATCCGAAAAATTAGACTTGGAATCAAAATCGAAGGTGTTTTGTTCAAAAGTAAAACTTTTTGCGACTACTATATATATTTTAGCTAGGAGACTAGGATCGGAACAAACAAATTCTATTTTCGAAAAAATAAGGACTAATTTATTGTTCACTAGGAAAAAAGAATTAAATATGTCGCATTAGTGCTTACCAAACGTAAGTGCTTCGTTTAAGATGTCTTCATCGCTGAATTTTTCTTTTTTATTATCGCCATCTGTTACCAAAAGTTGATCTAGTAAATCGGGTCCTAATCAATATCATTGAAAGTTAGTCAAGATTTCAAAAAAAATAAAATTGAACAATGACACACCTTTACAAGTTGCTTTTGTTAAACCCTGTTTTCTCAGATTTATCATTTGTAAAACAGCATTTCTCATATCTTGTTTGCATTTATCAATACGTTTTTTCCATAATATTGGTAATCGATTAAGTATTGGGATAATAAGAATTACATTGTAGATTCGTTTTTCTACTTCATCGAATGCTATTTGAAGATTATGATAGATTGTATCATTAATAGATCTATCTTTCATTGTTTCGACACCAAATACACAACCGAATATAATATCCAATGTCAGATATGACATCTCTTTCGATATATCCAATGTCAATGGAGACGTTTTATCATTTATGTCATTTTGCCATTGTGCCAAAAAATTCGATATTCTATCAACCATGACTGGTATCATTGAATTGAGATTTTGATGTTGAAAAATTGGATTAGTTAATTGTCGATGTCGTGTATGATTGTCATCTTCGGCCAATAAAAGATTTTCATAGTTGAGTAATGCTCCAAAAAGTTCTCTTACAAGTACATTTTTATGATAGAATCGAGTATTTGTTTTTAAAACACTTTCAATTACTCCTGGATCACTTGTAATTAAACAAGGAAATGGACCGAATGATGTATGATAATAATCACCGAACTTAGCATTTGCCTCTTCAAGATAAATTAATGCTTTATCGGCATAATAATCTCGACGATGACGTAATACATCACCAACTATTGGCGTATATTGTCCAGGAACGCCTTGATTCGCCAAATCTCGTTGAATTGTATATGGACGAATGATCCAAAAGTTGATGATACGATAAATAACGTATAGAAGTAATGTAAAAAGAATAATTGTCAACCACATTGCCGTTAGCCAAGTCCACACACAGTTCTAAGAAGAAAATGGTCACGTTTCTCTTTTCTGTCACTGATAAAAAAGAAAAAAAACCAGCTACAGATGTGACTGGGGAGTATATCCCTCAGAAAATCTAGTTTTTTCGAAAAAAAAAGTCAAAGTTGAGTTTTTATCATAGAAAGACGCAGTGGAATTTCCTGTCTAAGAATATATATGAATATTTTAAAAAATTAGCTAAATTTTAACAAACTTTAGAAAGAGATATCGGCTCTACTATCATGTTCCCCAAGAAAATTCTTGGCCTTTTAAAATATTTTACTTTAAAAAAAAACTGCCTTGCTATTTGCATTAGTATTGAATAAACGTTCTCCTATGGTTTAAATACGTTTGTCCAAATCAATCAGAAAACAGGATGGGCTAGACCCATCGCAATAGCTTTTATTAGCCGTTGAAAATCTTGATTAAAACTTATTTTGAGTGAAGAATCCGAATGTGAGATCAGTTTTTGCTCTGATATATATATTAATTAATACGTAATAAGAGGTTGATATAGATTAGCAGATAATATGGACTTGGAACAAAAAAAATCCATGTAAGAAAAGATGGGAAAAAAAAATCTGCTTTTAATCGATGTTTTCGTCCTTGTTTTTAAATCGGAAAAGTCTTTATTTCGTTTTGTTTCATCTTATCATTTACAAACCAGTACAATAGTATATAAAATCGATCAAATCATGTTGAAATGAGGATTTTCACCATCACTATTATGAAACAAAATCCAAGTTATAATCGATTCTAATGTTGATTACGTCCATAGTGTACTTTGATCTCATGAGCAATAACATAGCCGCCTTTTTGATAGGTCTATATCATTGAAAAACTTCCAATACAAGTTCTTGAGTTCGCTGCTATGTAAGATAATCAATTGTATATTCTGAATATTATCAAGAGAAGCTTTTTTAAAATTATTTCATGGTCATCAAAATATCACATGTCTATGTCTCGTCGTTTTTTTTCTTATTTGTAGCTATTGTTTACTATTAACTTTAATTTTATCACTCGTCTAATCATGTTAGAAACTAAATATACTTACGTGCTACGTAATACTGGAGTATACAAATTATGTTTTGTGTGCTTGCAATCGATTTTACTCTGTATTTATCGCTGACATCGTTACTTGTTTTTTTTCAACAAACGTATATTACATGAGTCAATGAAGCATGACTTTTTCATCTATGTATTTATCATCACATATAATTCGTTTTGCATATATTCTTCCTCTTTTGTTTTTTTTACTTAGCTTTGCCTTTCGTATTGTTGCGATGAGGAAATATATACAGATATTTGCATACGTGTAAATCTGAGTTGTAATGATTCATTGGACTTTGAACTTCATTATAATCTATATAAATATCTTCTATTGTAAAAACCTTTTTTTTAAACTGAAGATCACACAAGCAATGTTGAAAGCTTTTAAATAAAGGGTGTGGATGCGGGTAGGTGACATAATGAAACTATCCTCGGAATAAAATACACAAAAAAAAATTGTAGACGACTATGGCAGCTGATCTAAGTCTTTCATTAGTCGATAATATGGTAATACTTATGCAACCTTGAATGAATCAAATGGTGATTAATTATAGATGATGCAAAATAAATTACTCATTTCATTCTTCCCTTTGACAAGAAGTTCGATATTAAATATGCAAATGCAGAAGAAAAAGAGACAGGGGGGAAAGACTATCCAATTTGATATTATAATAATGTGAATTGAGCTAATCAAGGGCATTTAGATAAACGATTATATGATTATTTTGAGAATCAATTGATGAATATAAAATTTTGCATGATTCTGGCGAAGTGTTCAATTTGTAAAAAACCCATCATTCTCTATCAAAGCAGTTCAGAATGTTGTTCTAGTAGCATAAGAATATAGAAATAAAATCTTCAGAAAATATTGAATTTTTCCGAAAAACAATACGATAATCCAATCATTAATTAATTCTCCAGATAATCATATCAAGACAATTTTTTTCTCTTCCATTAACAAGAAACAGTAACCATTGAATAGATAAAATTTATTTTGAGATGATTTTCATATTTTTATCAATTGTCGAAATTTAACATCGAAAGATACTCTTACTCAAGCGTACAATCAGAGAAAATGTGGGAAAATATTATTACCAATATTAAAATCAAAGTTTATTAAAACATATTTTACTAGCCGTGATAATCTTTTCTTTTAAGAATAGATTGCTTAATATTTCCTCTTTATTTTTTTTTTCTATTTACAAACTTTATTTTAGATTTTTTTATTATAGTTAACCTCTCAACTGTTAATTTTGTTTTTTTTTTAAATAAATAATAAACTTATCGCAATATATAAATTTTAGAAATTCACAAATATTTCAGCATAATACAAAATTTCAGCGGCAATCATGTTCAATGATTTAAACAAAAAAAAAACAGAAGTTTTTTTAAATACCAAAGTGCAAAAAACTTAATACCACAAAAATATTTTCGAAATTTAAAGTTTTATTCAAAAATTCAGCGTGAAGTACGATACATACAGAAACATGAATCAACAGAAAGTGTAACGTTACAAATTGTACATTCGTACCTCGATTCACTTTAGAGTAGCAACAATTAATTCAAAAGTAGTATTTAAAAAGTGTATTCACACTTAATATGAATAATGATACAATTGTTACAGAGGAACATTGTCGATATGAAACATCAAAAACTGTAGAGAGAGCGCTTCACTCGGTGCAGGTTGTTCGAGTCGATAGAGAGCATACAAAGAAAACAGAATTAAGGAATTGTAGTCTTTATCTTTTCCATAAAGATTGCTTTAATGAGTATACTCGTCAATAACAGTTAAGGGGTTATACATGAATAATTGTGTCTATATAAGATAAAATTATAATCAATCATATATTCTGCAAGATTTGCATATATAGGTCTGAAATATGTACGCAATCATACTCTTTCAAAATCGACTTCATTCAACATGTTTGAAGTACTATTTTGATGATCCTATTATTGAATATACGTATACAGCACCAATATCAGAAGAGTTTTAAAAAACTATTGACATAATAGTTTTTCTTTCTGATTGGTACTTATGATCGAATTGATTCACTCATCCTTAGAACTATATTCGTCCATTCAATAAATTTTTATTGGACAAAAACAAACTGAAAATTTTTAAAAGTATGTAACGATAGTGTCACTGTCATAATTCACTTCTTCATCCTTTTCTTTCTCAATTTGTTTCTTTGGCCGTTGTCTAAAGCAATCTGTCATCAATACTACTCGTTGTCCAAATAGTGGCAGAGTTGCTGTTTCAACATAAATTCTGCCAGCTGCCACATCATATTGATCAGTGAAGGAGAAGAAACCAAAACCAATTTTGGTTACGCATAGCAGCAAATATACAATAGTAAGCATCAAAAGCATAGATGATGTCTCCATAAGTATATAGAAGATTGCCGTCATAATCTTCTGGGTGAACGTAAACTTGAATGCTATATACTACATAAATCATTGGGGCGATTGTCGTTGCTGAAAAAGCAATCACATTAGGATCATCCAATGCGAAACTGCGACCGAGCGTGCATGTATAAGTCATGTACCAAGACATGATCCTATAAAGATACGAGATTCGGATGTGGGTGAATAAATGATACTACCTTCATACCCACACCAAATTGGCAAGCATATATCGGCTACGTAATGTTTTTTTAAAGCATACTGGTACTCGAGCTCGTACATGTTGCCATTTTAGACCCTCCCAGATAGAATGAAAGGCTTCAGTTTCATAGAAGGGTGCTGTCAAATCGGTTGTTTCATCGCTTTTGATACTATATTCACGCGCGTATACTTCGTCAATATACGTTGTAAATTAATTGATTTTTATACATTTCAACGTGCTCATCACTCTCCTGTTCTAACTTATAGGGTGTAATTTTTCTCTTTCTATTCCTCTTTCTACATCTCTGCTTCTTTTTTCGTGACCCACTGAATGCCTCCCATTCTCTCTTCTTTCGTGAAGCACAAGCAAGGAAAATCGCATAAGTAATTTTTTACTGAACTGCGCAATATGCAGTGTTGTAGCACGTGGTTTCACGCTGTGCTTTGCATTCATATGCGAAATTAATATTTTTTAGTATTCTTCTATCAAGCAATGGTTCCAAATAATTCATTTTTTTTGCCTGTATTTTCATATATAGCAAAATAAGAAAACACTATGGTTCAAATTCATGTTACATGTAATATACAAAATGCGCGCATGAAGTATGCATGTATTGTAAAAACATTTTCACTATTATTTTTTTCCAGCCGATTTTGTATTGAAACTTAATGTATATGTGGCATGTCAGTTTAAAAAAATAATTGAACAACAATAATGCCATTATTAGAGAAGCTTGTTATGCCTGTTTGTTCGAAGCAAAGTGGCGATGGAAAGAATGTTTTTTGGATTTTTTGTGTTCTATGTGTCGGACCAATGAGCCAAATATTAGCTCAAACAGAGGGCATCCTTTGGTGAGGTTCTCTCATAAGTGGAATATTCGTTGGACTACTGATTCTACAATTATGAGAGACAGAGGAATGAACACATTTTAGTAGTTTTCAATTATTCATAAATCTTTCTTGAAGTCTTGTTCACACTTATAAATTAGATGAGTCATCAATTCAAGTAAGCTATCTATTGAAATAGTTGCAGAGCTATATAGAAGCTTCTTCGTCACTTCCGAGTCTGGTCACTTATTGATTCAAGGAAACAATCTATTAAGGCAGCAATGTAGCATGAGAGATTACATACTTCTCCATGAAAACGTTTACTATTTGATGCTTTTGGATTTATACTTTTCTTTATTTTGCCTTGTCAAATATTTGTTTTTCAAATTTTTCTCTTCTGAATTTTGAGAGACATATTATGGTGAGGATATGCAAAATTTTGATCAAAAGCATAGGAAATGGGATATGAACATTATAGTCCAGTTACTTAT